TGTATGTTATAGTACTTATTAGGTTGCACCATAACTGTGTATACAATTTTGTTTATTTTTTTCTATTTCTTTCTCACTCTCTAGATTATAAGCAAGGGCTATATTTTACTAGTTTTTAAATCCTCAGAGATAGCCAGAATGCCATAGTAGGTGCTCAGTAAGCACTTGTTGATTAAGTGTTACCAAGGATCCTTTGTGAACTAGATGCATTCAGAATTTAATTATGAGTGAGAAAACAATCCAGGAGGGAGGTTTGGGCATCTAGGTAGAAGCTGTCAAAGGGAGAAGGTAGCCTACGGAGGGAGGAGAGGAGCAGGCTGGAGGGCCAGGGTACCCCAGTGACAGCTTTGATATTCAATAATCCACACTTTGATTTCCAGGTGTGAGGCTCAATTGCTGCCTTTGTGTACAGATTGATCAGGGGGAGGGGAGGTATTTTCAAGTGGATTTGCTAATGAAATCTGTACGGTAGGGACAGAAGTTAAGTCTGTAGTTCCGGCTCTTTTTCCTGGACACATTTCAGAGGAGATTCATGCAGGAGTCAGGGGTCGCTGAAGCAGAAACATGTCTGAGATTGCTCATGCCAGCCAGCAGAAGCTGACAGGATATGTGCTGGCAAGTGCTGGGGACCGGGGTCGGGGGTTTCTTCCCTTTGATTTGCTTCCAGAGCTTTTCAAGGTAGTCTCGGGAATGGGCCTAGTGACAGCAGGCCTGCGGAGGTGGGGTAGGGAGGAAAACACACTCGTTTTCCTGCTAGAAAAGCATTTGCGACTTTTGGAAATGTGGCAGAACTGTCAGAAGGACATGACAAGCCTAGCTACATAAGTTGAAAAAATTAAGTGATTGCTTCTACTGTTCTGTGACAAATAAAATTGTCAATTGTCTTCAACATAGACGATGAAAAGAAAAAAAAAATTATGAGCACCATCTCACAGGGGACACGTGCTGCATATTCAAGTGACTTGAGTTGCCTGCTCCTTACTGATCCTCCTCTTTGTGCCCTCCTCATCATTTTAGATATGCCATAGCAATAATTGCAAGAATTTAAAATGAGAAATTATTGCCTTCTTATTGTTGGATAAAAATTTCTTGTCTGCACATTTGTGACTCCTCAAGTATAGTATGTGGATATGAAACCACCTTTGCAAAAGTTACAGTGAAAGAGATCTGACCTAATTGACTCCATCTTGCTTCTAACCTGCAACCTGCCCTTGTTCATTCCTGAGTATAACCCTAACTAACTTTGGGAGGAACTTAGTTTACAGTTTAACGGTGAAACAAAGATGATAACAGCACTTTCTCAAAACAAACCCTCTCTTGCCCAGCGACCAGACTGCCTTTGTAAGACTCACCAATTAGCCACAAGGTTAGAAATCATGGTTTAGGAGAAGTACAGCTAGAGGCCACAAGATTCTAAACCTCCCCAGTTGCTCCTAGAGAAAACATCACTATTGTAAAACCTGATTGGTGCTTGAGATATTTTTCAGGCCCTGCCTTCTGATGCACTAGCTGGCACCACCCAGACTGGTAACCTGGCTCAACCAGTTCTGTGATTCCACCCAGGAACTGAATACAGCAAGAAGAACCCACTTCAAGGGCCCTATGATTTTACTCCTGACCCCACCAATCAGCATTCCCCACTCCTTGCTCCCTTGCCACTAAATTTTCCTTAAAAATCCCCAGTCCCTGAGTTCTCGGGGAGACTGATTTGAATAAAACGCTGGCTCTGTGTGAATTAAACTCATTATCTATTGGAATTCCTCTGTCTTGATAAATCAGCTCTATCTGGGCAGGAGGCAAGGAAATCCTGTTGGGTGGTTACAAATCCATAAAATTGAGGCTAATCAGAACTTCAGTCCTTCAAATTTGATCACTGTTAGGTTAATGCATCATTGTGCATAACCAAGAAAAATCTAACTGGTGAGCTCGATTTATTCAGTATTGTTTCCTACACCAATGAACTACAGAGGACAATGGCAGAAACTCTTGAAGGAGATTCCTGTCATACACGTATTATTAATTAGCCAAGTGATTTCGTACAATAAATATATCACCCTGAACATTTGCTTCTTTATGTTGAAAATGAGAGTACTGGGGAATGTCTTAGTCAGTTCAGGCTGCTATAATAAAATACCTGACCATGTGGCTTAAACAATACACATTTATTTCTCACAGTTCTAGAGGCTGGGAAGTCCAAGATCAAGGTGCCAGCTGATTTGTTTCCCAGTGAGGGCTCTCTCCCTGGCTTGCAGATAGCGTGTCCTGGCATGACAGAGAGAGAATAAGAGCCTTCTAATGTCCCTGCTTCTAAGGGTACTAATCATGTCATTAGGGCTGCACCCTCATGACCTCATCTGAATCTAATTACCTCTCAAAGGCCTCACTCCCTAACCCCATCATATTGGGGGGTAAGGCTTCCACATAGGAATTTTTGGGGGGATTCATACAATTCAGTCCAGGGCAGAGAAACACGTAGAATGGAAATGTGAAAGGTTGATGAACATTTGACTTTTTTTTTCTAAGTCATGCTCATCTCCAGAATGAAGAGACTTTATTAATTTGCCTCTAGAAACTGAGATTATGCACCTACTCATGAATTGGTCCTATGAAAGATAATGATGATGCAAAGAAGTATTTGTTGTGTCAGAAAATGAAGATGACAAGCCTCAGTCCTGAGAATTTTAAGTCACGGGTACCTTCTTTCACAAAGCAACAGTCTGCGGGATGTGTCTGCATTTTAGATTGGATTGTGATAAAATGCACAGTCATACATGTGGCCACTTCTAAGAATGGGAGCGGTTAAGGCTTCAGAACATTCCAGGGTTAGGTACTGCATCTTCGAAGTACTGTGCACAGCAACTGGCATTCTCAAACACCTCTGGGGCCAGTGAAAATTGGTACAATCCTGTGGAAGGCAATTTGGCGTCACATATAGAGGGCCAGCAAAGTACTCATACTCTGACTCACACCCACTTCTGGGAGTTTATCCCAAGAAAATAATCTGAAAGAAGGAGAGAGTTATTCACAAAGGTGTCATGGGAGTATTGTTTTCTAGTGGTGAGAAATTGGAATTGTATAAACCAGAGTTTGGCAAACCTTTTCTGCAAAGGGCAAGATGGTAAATATTTTAGGCTTTTTGAATTATGCAGCATTTTTCTCTAATACTCAGTTTTGCTATTGTTCAAGAAGCCATAGATAATGTGTAAATGAAAAAGTATGGCTATATTTCAATAAAACTCTCTTTAAAAAGCTTAAGTTAGAATTTCATATAATTTTCACATCACGGGATATTATTCTTTTGATTTCTTTTCTAACCATTTAAAAATGTCAACGCTGTTTTTAGCCTGGAAACCATATGAAAAAAGGTGATGGGCCAGATTTACCTCATGGGCTATAGTTTGCTGACCCTTGGTCTAAACAGTAGAATAGTTTATTAAATTGTTATAAAACCACATAGTAGAATGTTATATACTGGTAAAATGATAATTAAGAGAACCATGTAATAACATGAACTATGCTTATAATATGTAAAAGCACAGGCCATGAAATGGTAAATACATCCTAGAATATAAGCAATGAAAGCAGTTGTGGTTAGAATAAAAAAGAAGTGAGTTGACATATATGATGCCAACAAACATATGAAAAAATGCTCATCATCACCGGTCATTAGAGAAATGCAAATCAAAACCACATTGAGATACCATCTCACGCCAGTCACAATGGTGATCATTAAAAAATCTGGAGACAACAGATGCTGGAGAGGATGTGGAGAAATAGGAACACTTTTACACTGTTGGTGGGAGTGTAAATTAGTTCAACCATTGTGGAAGACAGTGTGGTGCTTCCTGAAGCACCTAGAAATAGAAATTCCATTTGATCCAGCAATCCCATTAGTGGGTATATATCCAAAGGATTATAAATCATTCTGTTATAAAGACACATGCACATGTATGTTCATTGTGGCACTGTTTACAATAGCAAAGACCTAGAACCAACCCAAATGCCTATCGATGATAGGCTGGACAAGGAAAATGTGGCACATATGCACCATGGAATACTATGCAGCCATAAAAAGCAACGAGTTTGTATCCTTTGTAGGAACATGGATGAATCTGGAAACCATCATTCTCAGCAAACTGACACAAGAACAGAAAATCAAACACTGCATGTTCTCACTCATAGGTGGGTGTTGAACAATGAGAACACATGGACACAGGGAGGGGAGCATCACACACTGGGGTCTGTTGGAGGGGACTAGAGGAGGGACAGTGTGGGGTAGGGAGGCTGGGGAAGGATAACATGGGGAGAAATGCCAGATATAGGTGATGGGGGGAATGTAGGCAGCAAACCACATTGCCATGTGTGTATCGGTGCAACAACGCTGCATGATCTGCACATGTACCCCAGAATCTAAAGTGTCATTATATATATAAGAAGTGAGTTTTTTCTTTTTACCACATTTTATGTAAGATTTTTATTTGTCTTTATTTTCTCCTTCTGGAGCTTTGATTAGGTATTTGTCAGATGTTCTCATTCTATTTAAGTTTCTTAACCCCTGGCTCACTTTTCCCAACCTTTTCTCTCTCTGTTCTGCATTCTAGGTAATTTCTTCATGTATGTATTTAAAATTCACCACTAGTTCTCTATTTTAAGCTCACTAATAGTTCTCTATTCACTAACCAAATAGATAATTATTGCACTAAAAAAATGGAGTGAAATTCATATAATATAGCATTAACCACTGTAGTGTGGTATTTAGTGATTCTCAATAAATCACCCTAGTTAGATAAAGGCCACCACCTTTATTTAGTCCTAAAACATTTTCATCAGTCCCAAAGAAGACCCTAAGATCATTTAGCAGTCACTCTTCATTTTCCTCTCTCCCCATTCCCTGGCAATCACTTACATGCATTCTGTCTTTACAGATTTACCTATTACGGGAATTTTATATAAATGAATCACACAATATGTAACCTCTTGTGTCTGTCTTCTTTTACTAGCATCATGCTATTGAGGTTCATGTCCGCTGTAGTGTGTGTAAGTACTGCATTTCTTTTTTTGGCTGTGTAATACTCCATTTTATATATATACCTCACTTTCTTTGTCCATTCATCCATTGATGGCCTATCCATTGATTTTTTTTCTTTGCTTGAAATAAAAAATATTTGTTATCTTAGTCAGTTTCTGAGGCTCAAACCCTCATGAGTACCTTACCTGGGCGATCTTTCCTCAGGGGCTCTTGAGGCTACAGTAAAGTTGTTGGTTGGGGTTGAAGTCATGAACGGGCTGGAGAATGTCCTTCCACATTCAATCACATGGCTGTTGGCAGGGTGCTTCAGTTCCTTTCCACGGGCTTCTCCATGTGGCCATGCATGGCCAGGCAGCTGGTTTCTCCCATAGTAAGTGATGAGACAGAGCAAGATGGAAACGGCAGTAATTGTATAACCTAATCTGGGAAGGGATGTTCTATCACTTCTGTCATAGTCTGTTCATTAGGAGCAACCCACTAAGTTCTGCCTATACTGAAGAGGAGGGAATTAAATGTGAAGGAAGGAATATCAAATAATTAGTAGACATGTTTTTAAAACCACCACAGATATGGAAGGAAAAGTAACATGTATCTAAGTAGACATTAGATAAGGAAAAATTATGACAGGCAAGGAAGTAGCAGAAGCAAATGGATGGAGATACCAGATTACATGCCGTGTAATCTATGGCTCAAGAATTGAGGAGGCTATTATTATTACAATTTTAAAAAAGAGGAAACTGAGGCCTAGAGAGAGAAACTTTTCCAACATACACAGTTGGTAGATGTTGGATCCAGGTCTTGAACGCTTATTTCTGATATAGAGCCCATGATCTTATCAAGACCAGTGTTAGGGTCTTCCAGAGAAATAAAACCAGCAAGGTATATATATATTAATAGAGAGATTTATTTTAAGGATCGACTCACAAGGTTTTGGAGGCTTCATAAGTCCTAAATCTTCAGGGTAGGCTGGCAGGCTGGAGACCCATGAAAGAATGGCAGTTCAAGTCCAAAGACTGTCTGCTGGCAGAATTCCTTTTTGCTCAGACGAGGTCAGTCTTAGTGCTATTAAAGCCTTCAGCTGATTAGATGAGGTCCACCCACATTATTGATAATCATCTGCTTCACTCAGAGTCCACCATTACTGGACTGACTCAAAATTGAACAAATATCTGGGCACTGTGGCTCAACCATAAAATAATCATCTCAATACTCTATACAGCAATGACAACTTGGGGCTCAGATTACAAAGGGTCTTGAATGTCATGCTATGCTGTTTGTTGTATTTCTGAAAATTAACCAGTGGCTTTTTCTGAGATACACGGTGTCAATCATCCGATATGATGAGCAGGCAGGTGTTCCCATATAATATCATAATTCCCTTGCCCAAGATCCGTAGCTTGGAAGCAGCAGGTAATAGACCCACCTCTCATGGATCCAAACTATACATCATCTCTCCAGATTAGTTGAAGTTATTGACAAATAGAATGGGCTCTGACTTAGTGCTTTTACAACTCAACCCCATGGCCAACCACACTTCCTGGTGGCCCTTTCCAGCTCTCTCTCAATTCTATGCATCTTATGTATTTAACTGTTCATCGAATGATCTTTTATTGAGCACCAGTGGCAAAATGGTGCATATGACTCAGTTTCTGTGTTATAGGTACAATTATATAAAAAGTTTATGTCACGTAAATGAATATTATGCCAAGAGTTAAACTTAACAGTAGGGCTATACATTAGCCATAGGGATGGTGCAAGTTATATGTTCAGAGAACACCTATGAAAGATGAAGAGGCTCATGAGTGGAAGGGCATTTCAAGCAGAGGGAATAGCATGAGAAAAGGTATGGAAATATGAAATATCCCTGTTCTTTGGTTAACTGACAGTATTTTGGCATGGCTAGAGCACAGGCGTATGTAAGTAGTGTTGGGCAAGGAGGGAGGAGAAATGTGTGTGGTTAGAATATGAAGACTTTGCATTCTCTGCTGACAAGCTTGGACTTGATACTATAAGATTAGTGTTTTCTTTGATTTTTGGACCATGGATCAATGATATATTGCCATAATTATGTCATATAACAACCCATACAACCTCAGCAGCATATGCCAATAAGCATTTATTGCTGACATGTTTGGCATTGTTGGCCAAGTGTCTTCTGCTGATATTGATTGGGCTCCTTCCCACGTCTTGGGGTTGGCTGGATGTCAGCTAATCTAGAATGGCCTCAGGTGAGACGACTGGGGTGACTCAGTATTTTCCATCTTTCACCAAGCTAACCCAAACATGATGCAAGAGCACATAAGGGAGCAAGCCCAATCACTCAAGTGTAGTTTAACATTTCCACTTGTGCCACATTTGTGAATATACTATTGGCCAAAGCCAGTGCTAACGTCAGTCCATTTTCAAAGACGTTAGTGGGAGAAACTACAAATGCATATGGCCAAGACTGTGGCTCTAAGGAGGGCAAAGAACTGAGGGCCTTTGATACACTCAGTTCACGCTACACCATCTGCACCAGCTGCCAGTCATCTATTAATAGATTAGACTGAGGCAGCTAATGGGGCCTGATCACCTGAAGACAAATCTGTGCCTAATTTCAGGGTATAAATGATATCACCCACCGTACTTGCTTGGCTAAGACCTCAAACTAAAATGCAGAGTACCCAGGAGGATCAGAGAAAAGCCCTAGGGATGTGGGAAGGAAGGATTTCTCCTTACAGCCACAGAGCTGTGCTGGGAGCTTTATGGAAATAGCCAGGCAGGCACTGCTGACCACGGAGGCAGTGGTGGCTGGAGGAGGGAGAGGGTCTCCAGGCTGTTGCTCTGCCATCTGTTGGGAATAGTGCACTTCTTGTGACCCAAGCCCTGGAAGCGTTGCAAGCAGGCAGGCTGATTAATTATTTCCCTGGGATCTTTCCAACAGAGGATAGAAATTGATGCTCAGTGGGCGTGAAAGAGAGGCCAAACCTTTCAACTAGTAGGGAATTTGTTTCCTGGTCTAACTGCAGCCACATGTGAAGGTATTGAAAACATATGTGCCTCTGATAAAAGATCACATTTAGAGTAAAGACTAGAAAGGCATCAGTGCAACAGCATCCTGTTTCTCATCAAACACCAAGCCCTGAATTTCCAAATACTTTGTGTTACTGGGGGATGTTTAGAAGCATTCAAACAGGGCTGGCCTTGGTTTCCGTTAGCATCTTTGACATGTTTCTGTTACCTGCTGTTCCTACCTAGTGAAATAAGTCATTTTTCGCTGTGGTCCCCAAGCCTGGTGACCTCTCAAGCCCACTGAATCAGAAGCCACAGGAGTGGTCAACAGAAATTTAACTTTTTAGTAAGTTGCTCTGGCTGATTCTTGGGCTATCCTTGAACCTGTTTGTGAACTGAGATGGACAGTTACAGGTTTAGAGTCAATACACATGAGTAAGCATGAGTAAGGCACTATGCTGCTGAGTGGCTAGCAGGAGAGGGGGAGAGAGAGAGAGAGAGAGAGAGAGAATTTACATGAGTTTTCTATCTGTGTATAAGGAAAGGGGTGGGGAAGTGAACAGAAGATGGCAGGCATAAGTAAGAGGGAAAGACATTAATAAGGGCACAGGGTCATTATAGGAGCAATAAAACACTGAGTGCAGCGAGTCTCTGGAATAATAAACTACCGGTGATGCCAGTCTCTGCTAATGGGATCATCATCCATTTAGTCTCCCAAGCCTTAGAGATACCCTCAACTCCTTTGCTTCTCTTTTCTTCTTCTATTCCAAGTGATCATTAGATCTTGTTCATAGGTTATACCAGTCACATCTGGCAGCTTAGCCAACAGTCTTCCTCTTGTTTTTTTTTTTCCAAATTTTTTATTCCCATAGGTTTTTGGGGAACAGGTGGTATTTGGTTACATGAATATGTACTTTAGCAATGATTTGTGAGGTTTTGGTGCACCCGTCACCTGAGCAGTATACGGTATACACTGCACCCTATTTTAGTCTTTGATCCCTCACCCCCTTCCCACACTTTCCCCCTGAGTCCCCAAAGTCTATTGTGTTATTTTTATGCCTTTGCATCCCCATAGCTGAGGTCACTTATGAGCGAGAACATATGATGTTTGGTTTTCCATTCCTGAGTTAATTCCTTAGAATAATAGTCTCCAATCTCATCCAGGTCACTGCAAATGCCATTAAGTAATTCTTTTATATGGCTGAGTAATATCTGATCATATATATTTATATATATCTATAATATATGTATATTATTTATATCTAAAATATATATATGCCACAGTTTTTATTTTATATATAATATAATATATATATTTTTATTATATATAATATATATGCCACATATATTATATATATCTATATTATGTATATGCCACAGAAATATATATATTTATAGATATATATAATATATATTATATATATTTATAGATTATATATAATATATATCTATAATTTATATATATAAATTATAGATATATATAAAAATTATAGATAAATTTATATATATAAATTATAGATAAATTATATATATAAATTATAGTTATATAATATCTAATATATATTAGATATATAATATATATATCTGTAAATATATATATATGCCACAGTTTCTTTATTCACCCGTTGATTGCTGGGCATTTGTGTTGGTTCCACACTTTTGCAATTGTGAATTGTGCTGCTATAAACATACATGTGCAAGTATCTTTTTCATGTAATGACTTCTTCTCCCTTGGGTTAGCTTGGGAATTAGAAAGCAATGAACTCAGCTGGACTCCTGTGGTAGAGTCTTCATGGGTCTTTTGGTCAAGAGACTCTCCTTTCTTTCATCCTCTACCATGACTTGAGAGTGACTATGCTTCAAAATTTTTAAATAAACATATTTCCTAGCTTAGAAAAGAATTTATTTCCTTTTTTTTTTTTAAGAGGTGGCAGTGGTGCCATGATAACTTACTGTGGCCTAGAACTCCTGGCCTCAAGTAATTCTCTTATCTTAACCTCCTAGGTAGTTGGGAATACAGGCATATGACACTGCACCAGGCTCATTATTTTTTAATAGAAACAGGGTCTTCCTGTATGGTCCAGGCTGGTCTCAAACCCCTGGCCTTTGATGCCATAATCTTATTCCAAGGAGTACCTTCTACTGTGGCTTGTTGAAGATCTGAAATGCTAGTTTGAGTTATTCTCTCTCTTTTTTTTTCCATTTATTTATTTTATTGCATTTTAGGTTTTGGGGTACATGTGAAGAACATGCAAGATTGTTGCAGAGTACACATGTAGGTACACATGTGGCAGTGTGATTTGCTGCTTTCCTCCCCATCACCTACATCTGGCATCTCTCCCCTTGCTATCTCTCCCCAACTCCCCACCATCCCTCCCCTGTTTCCCCCCAACTGACCCCAGTGTGTAGTGCTCCCCTCCTTGTGTCCATGTGTTCTCATTGTTCAACACCCGCCTATGAGTGAGAACATGCGGTGTTTGATCTTCTGCTCTTCTGTCAGTTTGCTGAGAATGATGGTTTCCAGGTTCATCCATGTCCCTACAAAGGACAAGGCAATGAAGGTCCTCACTTCAAATGCAAACCTCATTAAGTCGTTAGCAGCCACTAAAGCTTTATTTGAATGAGCTCATCCTATCTGCTCCCTCACAGTGATTTCTATAGAGCTTTTATATCTATGATCCCATCTAAATATGTGCAATAATTTATTTTATAGATGTGGAGACTAAATGTCTAGAAGTGAACAAATTCAGGTATCTAGCCTAGTTTTCTGACCTTTAATCTACAATACACACTGCTTTTACTGGTAGGGTACTAAGGGAAGAATCAGGACAGGTAAGTTTTGATGGAAGGGAGAAAAGAAATAGAAAACAAAAAACACCTTCAGAGCTTGGAGAATTACCTAAAATGTAGCAAGGGGGGTCAGAATGATGGCACTCTCTGCTTAGACAGGGGTCACAAAGGGATCTTAAGAAAGATTAATGGAGGGTTCTAGAAAGCCCACTTTGCCAGTGTGGTACTATGGACACAGCACTGGACTTGGAATGAGAACATTTGAACTTGGTTATTTTTTTGGCAATGTGACCTTAAGGAAATTGCTTAACTTCCCTGAGCTAAGTTTCCTCATGCATACAAGAGGAATCATAACACCCATCTTGTAGAGTTATGGTGAAGATGAGAAAAATGGTATGCAAGTACTAAGAATTTGGTTCCTTCTACTACTGTAATTATTTTGGTATTCTTGCATCATAGGTAGCATTCCTGGTAGTCAAAACTATTAGGTTGATCCACTCTCTGGAGCAGTCAATATGACAGTTTCTTTCCTAAAGGCAAGTAGTCAGGATGATTAATTTGAAGGATCATGATTTCACTTGGATTTAGGACTCATCCTTGCAGATGTATATTCTTGGCAACTAGTAATGCCTTCTACTTTATTTCACTGCGTATGAATAATGAAGACTGTTATTTATTGAAAGCTCAATATTAATAAATTATTGCTGCCAGAGGTAAGCTGGGAACAGCGGATGTCTCATTTCCCTAGGCAGAGATTCAGGCTGAAAATTTAACCGGACCTGTTTCAGTACCTCGATTGCACCACTCTATTTTTCCTCTACATCTTTGAACTTGCTTTTCCCTGGAGTGCTCTTCCCCACCCACTCTACTGGGCTGCTCTGTCCATTCTTCAAGTCTCCGTGTAAACGCCACTTCTCCTCGGACACCTTCACTGGTATCTTGGACTGGGTAGGACTATTTGTACTCTTCCTATGAACTTCTCATACATGATACTCATCACACCTCATGCGAATTCCTCTTTCTGTTGGTTTTCCCTACAAGACTGTAAGGCTTGTGTAAATAAACACAGTACCTCTTTTATTCATTAACTATATTCCGTGTACCTAGTTTAAGGCCTAGCAAATATATTTGTTAAATGAATGAATGAGGATGATGACTTGTTAAAAAAAAATTGGAGTCAACTTATAAAAAAAGGGAATAGAGTAAAAGAAAAGAATGCAACTGAAATACAACAAAGTGTAGAGAAACAAGTGTTTGGTAATGAGAATGGAACGATAGGATCATGGAGAAAGTTAACAAGCAGGTGCTTCAAGGCAGGAACAGGCTTGGCATTTCTGAGATGCCAGAAGACAGTGAATGTGGCTGGGTTGTAGTGGGCATAGGGGAGAGTGGTGGATGATGAGGCCAGAGAAAAAGGCACAGGTCAGATCAAGCGGGGCGTTGTCATCTAGAGAAAGTAGCTTGGATTCTACTCAAGTTTGGTGAGAAGCTATTGGTATGGGGTAGGGGAAGGAGGAAGAAACAGGGTGAGTTATTGGTGAAAAAGAATAAAATGTTCATTTCCAACAACAGGAAGCAAATAGGTAATGTCTGAAGTGTGCAATTCCAAAGACATCAGAAAAAGCATACTATTTTGAAACAATGACATATATACCAGGAAAAGTGACTGTAAGAGTCGAAAGTAGGGACTTGTGAAGATCAGGAATTGGGCTGAGTTAGGAGAGGGAAAAATTATGCTCTTTTTATAATAAGCTTTAGTACTGTTTGACTTTAAAATTTCTATATGCATGTTTTATTTTCTTAAAAATTAAACATTTATTTTTAAGAAAGAATAAAAACAAGGTAAGATGCTACATGCTCCCCTCCTCTACAGTGAAGCTTAAGTCCCTGGACTCTCACCTGCACAAGCATAGAGGGGCTCCAGCAATGTTCACATTGTATTAGGCCATTCTTGTGTTGCTATAAAGAAATGCCTGAGACCAGGCAATTTATAAAGAAAAGAGGTTTAAATGGCTCAAGGTTCTGAGGGCTGTATATATATGGCACTGGCATTGCTTGGCTTGGCTTCTCGGGAGGTCTGGGGAGCTTTTTTTGACTCATGGCAGAAGGTAAAGTGGGAGCAGGCATATCACATGGAGAAAGCAGGAGAGAGAGAGAGAGGGAGCGAGCGCGTGAAGGGGTTGCTGGGAATGGGGCACACTTTTAAACAACCCCATCTCCAGAGAACTCACTATCAGGAAGATAGCACTGAGCCATGAGGGATCTGCCCCCACGATCCAGACACGCCTCCTGTGAAGCCCCACCTCCAGCATTGCGAATTACAATTCAACATAAGATTTGGGCCGGGACAAATATCCAAACTATAGAACATAACGTCATTTGCTTTTTAAAATTTGCAAAGTTAAGATATTTGAATGAAGCTAGATTAGGACTGTTGCTCTTATCCACTTTCGTCCTTCCTCAGGGTGTCATATTTCCTTCTCTTGCTTAAGGGGTCACAGGCATTCTTGGCATCCTGCTAGGGGGAAACTGAGTTGGAGTTACATTTGGTCTGTGTTTAGTGCGGTATATTAATATTTATGTGGTTTGAAGTCACGGCTGTGTACTTTTGTATTGACTGGCTGTTCTGTAGCTGAGATGACTTCCAGGAATACTTCCTCTATCCACTGGGCTGACTTACCAATGTCCCAACACAATATTCAGGGACAGAGCTAATCTGGCAACTGAACTCCTCCTAGGGTGCCTGGCACAGAAAGTGTGTGAGAGTATTTAAATGTAGTCACTATGGATAATATTATTTTTTCATGTCTCTGTTATTAAGCACAATTATTGGCATACCCATTTTTAGACTGCATTCTAGCCCGGGCAGTAAAGCAACACCCCTGTTCTCTCTCCCTCTTCTTCTTCCTCTTTCTTCCTCTCCTTCATTCTTTTTTTTTATTCTTTTTTTTCTTTCTTTCTCTCTTTCTTTCTTTTTTTTCTTTTTCTTTTTTTTTTAATGTAGTCACTACATAAGTGACATGCAAGAAAACTTCAAAGTTCTCCTGTCTTACAATTTCTATATGAAATAAACTTAATAGAGGTGTTCTTAAATTTTGCCACAATCCTGTAATTTGTATAACATTACCTGTACTGAATTGCAAGCTGAAAGGAATTTTTCTAAACTAAGAATAAAAATACAAAGTTTAATCAGTTGTGCTACAAGAAGACTGGATTATTTTTCTATTTCTTCCATAGATAATATTATAAAATATTTGAGGTGATCAAAGAGGTAATCAAAACATATGTAGTTAAAAATGTACGAAAATCTATTGTGGATGCATGCCAAGCAAAGAATTAATAAAGATAGCATGCTTTCTTTTTGGATGGATTTTTTAATGTTTGTAGTATTAGCTTTTTAAAATTTATACTTTGTCATAATTTCTTTTTTCACACCAATTTACTTTTGTATTCGATTTTGTATAGCTTTGCATTTTTAAGTGAGCTCCCCAATTTCTATAAGGTTCAGTTCTGTAAAACCTGATCTAACCCTGTTGGAAAAGAAGGTTAGGCAGACCAAGAACACTCAGAGAGGATTT